ACTCAGTCTGACATATAAAGGTAAAGATTAGAAGAATGAGATCTGTCTGAACGATGTTTGCAATAGAAATATTGCAGCTGAATACACAACTATTAAATAGAATCACCAGGCTGAATGACATTGAAATTAGCATGTATTTTTTTCACGTCAAAGCATTTGGTAATGTGTTCAGTTGATACTGCTGAGCTTGATTCTAATACAATATAAATTTACATTGATATTGTGCCTTTCACGATGGGAGGATGTCCTAAGAGGTTAGGATGATTCATTATTGCTTCTAGAAGCAATGATAAGGATTTGTACTTCCACTTCAAAACTCTACTGGGTGTGGTGGGAAACCTGGCACATGCTGGCACTGGAATATCGGATTAGATTTAACACTCTGCAGCGATCTCAGTAGTCAGGTTCCTGAGCCAGGTGAGTCAGTAACTCCAGGAAGATGGTGGCAATGCTCTCATGCATTTGTTGCTGAACTGTGTTGGCCACCAGGAAGCTTGCAGGGATTTCCTGGTACATACCATTCACCAAGTGAGAGCTTAGACCCGCACTTGTCGGATGTCAAACGCCAACTAGTGACTATTGTCCTGGTGGGGTGAGGTAAGCAGGATCTTGTTGGAGCTGACCTGGCTCCAAGGGGACATGTTTGGCAATGGAATGTCAGAATCGAGCCAGCCCTCTGTGTTGGTCTTAGTAGTCCTTCAACTCAGTTACTGTTAACCCTGCAAGCCAAAGCTCTAGGGTGGTCCTTGCTGAACAAGCAGCGGGAAAGCTGCAATCAATGGCAAACTATGTGATACTATCTGGTTGGACTCCAGCAGTACCCTAACACACACTCTGGAGTACCCAAACCTTGGCTCTTGCAAAACTTGGCCTTAATACTTTCCGGAATTAAGTAAAGAGGATGCATCTCTCCATGGAGAGAATGCGCATTCCATTCCAATAAATATCTCTGGATTTCCTTGTGTAGGTGGGTTACATGGAACTCTTTGGGTTTGGATACTCTTAAGCATCATGAAAAGTTTCCACATGTGTCAGACAAAACCAACCACAAAAGAACTTCTGCAGATGTGTGCTGCCCTTTCTGAGGACTGAAACACATCCTCTTAAAAGTTATCTGCTCAATATAGTTTACAATTTAAACCTTGTTTTAAGTAAAAGGTATTTGACTCCAGCTAAGTTTTTGTTTTGTCCACAACACCCTCTCCCACTCTGGGTAGAGAATGTTTAGTTGAGTAGCGAATGCAAGTTAAAGGTGCAGTATGGAATGATTGATATGGGGAAGTGACTGGTGAAGGAATGCTAAACATCAATGCCTTTTAAGTACAATTGATGTTTCTGCTTCCCTTTGATTCCTCTTTTGAAGTATTAAAATGTTTCGAAGTTCCTCAAAACGAGTCACTTCCACATCAGCCACATTTTTTTCCAATCATCCGTTGTATCAAAAATACATTTGAGTGAATTTACCCATCCCCTTTTTTAAAATGGTGACAATATCCTAAAACATGATCATAAAGAGAGGGAGGAGGGGGGGGAGTGGCAGTCATAATGTGCATAACCGGTTTTGATTATATTTTCAGATGCTGCACTTTAAATTAGTTGCGCAATGTTGGAAATTTTACAGCTAACCCTTCGTTAAAGGAGCAGTACTGTGTTTTGGTCTTTAAGGCAGTGAAACCCACAAGAACTTATTTGTAGCTCTCTGCTCCTTTGCCGGTGGCTCTTGGCAAACCTGACTCTATTTCAGGGTCCCCCAAAGCCGTCCAACCAGAGAGATCCAGGACAATGCTGCTGGGAGACCAGTTTTAATTCCAGCATCCACAGAACAAGTACTACTTGAAACCCATTGGAATTACAGTCGAGAAATTGGGACCCCACCGGGTAGGGAGTCATCAGTGTCTAGAGCATTGGCATTAAAACGTTGTTCAGAGCAGTGACACCCCACCCCCCCATGAAAGATTAATAAGTTAACTCTGGTATATTGCACAGTTCTCTCCTCCCTCCAAATGAAATCTATTTTAAAATTAATTTTGTTTTTCTTGAAGTTGTTTTAAGGCTCTGACTGACTTCCTCCAGATCACTTGGAGCGAAACACGTCACTGTTGGCTTGTCATGTTCATCTCCACAACACGTCTGAATAAATACTGAAAATAAATACTGCAGGGGATAACCAAGCCTAGATTGTGAGGAAGTTTTATTACTGTAATATTAATGTTTGTTTCCCTGGCCCGGGTGCCTTTAGAAATCTTTTCAGCTCACTTCAGGCAATTAACGTCAGCTGGACTCATAAAGTGTAATGAGTGTGTGAGCAATGTTGTTTTTATCTTCTGATTCTCGGTCCTAAACTGGAAGTGTGGTTTTAAAATAATAACAGCTTTTGCATTTGATATCGCACCATTCAACGTAAGGAAGACATCTCAAAGAGTTTACAAATACACAGTCAATCCACTTTACAGTATGTCCTGTGAAGCGCTTTGAGACATCTCGACGACATGATAAGGTGCTATATCATATTGCAAGGATTAGTATTATTGTGTATTTTACAGATGAACATCTATATATTAGTACAGAGCATGGAATACGTTTATCCTGCAGTCTCCCCCCATTTGCAAAGTTCAACCATCGTTGCCCGGGACCTCTTTGTACAGCTCTCATTCACTTGCTTCAAGAGGCCATGTTTTGAATAATTTATCACTCTGCTGATTTGGTATTTCATGCTGTGCAACTCATCACAATGCAGCTTTCTCTCGTAGCAGAGATATTCTCCACAAATTAGTTCCCCATTTGGCAGCTGGAGAAAAATTCTTCAAAACAGAAGTCAATCCTGAAGCATGTGATGGAACGTGTTCCTCTTTTTGACAAGCATTTCTGTTTTTCAAACGTCAGTATCAAACGTTAGAAAATCAGATTTGCTCTGTGAGATGTTATTAAAACCTGCTGGAGAGTATTTTTATCTTGACGGTAAACGGAATGGGGTGTGGGCAGGGGAGGAGAGGAAGAGGATGCATGCTAAATGGGAAATTTACTGACAAGTGGATGTGATTGGACTGTTGGGGAGAACAGGACCCCACAACGTCCCTGATCTTGTCTGCCAACCATCACTGTTTAAGATCACACGTGATGAATGGATACTTGGACAATGCATTATAGGGCAGCCAGACTCCTGTGGAGTGGGATACTAGAGCGAGTCTGTGCTTCAAAGAGTGAAGGAGAAACAAAACTGCTATTTAGTGCTGGTACTACGCTCCACTATAGCTGGTAAGCTCGGAGACGCTGTTGTTGTTCTGGTTGTTGTTGTATTTCGTGTCGTGGAAGGTGACGGGTGACACTGGAAGCTGAGAGCCAGCACGAGGCTTTTGAACTGTTGCGTTGGGTCAGTCGAGGAGGGTCAGTGCACTTTGTGTTGCAGATGCCGCAGAAAAGCTTAGAGTAGTTTGGCACTGGTTGACATGGTTACAGCTGTGCATTCGCCCTCAGAGCCAGGGCACAGTTGTCCCAACCCACGCACCACCCTCACAGCTGTTGTGGGAGAGTAGTTGTGTTCGAGCGTAGGGAAGGAGAAGTTATTATTTTGGGCGTGGATAATAAATCCCATCTTATGTGATGATCGTTGGAATGTGAGCGATCAGCCTTGCAGAGTTGTTTCGTGTAACGCTGATTGTCCGAAACACTGATTGTCCAGCGCCTGGGGATGTGCTCCCGACGTGAAAGGCGCTACGCAAATGTAATCTTGTTGTTGTTGTTGTAAACGTGTTCTACATCTTGTTCTAAACCCTTTCGTGCTCCATTAGGAGACACTCCACAAGGCGCTCACAGCATGTGATGTGTGTTAGGTCCTTCCACAGGGCTGCGCCGAATTCCTCATCCGGTCACCTGAAATTTCAGATGTCCTTTAAATACCATTGTTCAAAGAAAAGCCCAAACTTCTCCTACAACTGTAACCAGATTTAAGTCTTAAAATCACCAATGAAGCAAGAATCCACTTTGTGATCATGTTTACAACATTAATACCCTGGCTCTTCCACAAATTTACCAAATTATTCCCATGTGGAGAAGAGCAAAGAACTGCCATGGTGATGGTAAATTACTGGTGAAGATGCAGTGACCATGATGATCAGTTACTAGTGTTCTCTCTCACCTCTCCTCCCTCCAGAAATCCTATTCTTCACACCATAGATATAAAAAAATCACAGTCTCCAGAGTGCTGAAACAAGTTCACTGAAGCATCCTTTCATGACCTATTGGTCATAGATGTATTCCTCAAACTCTGAACGCCCATTGTTTGCCCCACATTGCTGTCACCATGGAAGTGCTGCCAATAAAAGCTCTAAGGATTAACAGGCATTTACAGCTTTCCTGTTTCTGACTGAGAAAAAGTATGCAGATAGTGTTTTTTATCAGTGTCAGCTTTCTTTATACATTATTTATTTTATGAATGGATTCTCGAAGTTCAGCACATCGATGGGGGAGAGAATCTATGTACTTTAAATGTTTTTATATATGAAATTAAATCAACAAACCACTGACTCTCTGTACGAGTGCCAAGCAATTCTGCGTGCACTGTAACCTTCACAACAGTAGATGGAATTAGCAGGGGTTGAAGGTCAGCAGCTCGTAAGCGGATTGAAGTGCTTTTTTCTCATCCACTGATTGTTCCTGAGCTGTTATTTGATAGGAATAGTGACAAAAATGTGGCTGACTGACTTTGTTTTAATGTTTGAATAATTCCTCCTTTGAATTTGACACTACTGAATTGCAGTGCATGCAAGTTTCAATTCTAATTTATACATTTAGCGTTTTCAGAATAAATGCTGGACAAGAGAGACATTTATGTTCCTTTAAAGAGAGGTGAGGAGGTAAGCATTAGACAAAAACATGGCCCATGTCCGTTTAACAAAGGAAAGATTCAATACCAGTTTACCAAACGTACACAGCAGATGGAAATGTCAAATGTGTGTGTCTGTATATGCTTAAGCCTTTTGTTCTTACTGTCTTTCTATTAGGACTGACGTCACTGAAAGAAATATTAAACCACCAACGCCACAACATTATAAAGAAACTAATTTATTTGACGATGATCATTCAGAAGGACTGGCAGCAAGAGGGTCTTACAAGCTCAGGAGTTATGCTAAACAAAGTTGATGAAGAGCACATGGTGGTTCGAAGCGTCAGAACAGACTGGAAAGAGTGATCTCCCGTTCCTCACACTGTTTGTGTTTGTACTCAATTTGAACTGGAGGAAAAACGGCAGCCGCAGAATGCAACTGAACCAAGAACACTGCCTTTCAGCTTGCCAGAAACTAAAACAGCTGTTCTAACAGGGAACCCAAGTGACCATGTTGTAAACTGTGAACTCCCATCGTGTTACTGCAAACTCTGAGGAATAAAGCCGGACTTGGATTCACATTTGGGGTTATAACCATGCCATCCAAAGGAAAGTACTTTATTAGTGAAAGCAAAGCTCAGATAAATAAAGACTCGATGTATGAGGCTTACTGCTCTTTGAGCCAGCAATATCCGCTTGTTGTCCTTCTCCTCTTGATTAATATTGGGAGCTGTGTAGCTCTGATCATTGTTTTCTTTTCCATTGGATTGGTAAGTACCACAATCTAAAACACTTCACACTTTTGTACCATATTAAATTGTTTAGTCACAATGCAGACTCATGAGCAGACAACTGATTTGCTCATCTTTGGAATGTGTATTATTCATTTTCACCGCTTCCCATCTCCAAAGAGGTTCATGGATTAGATGCAACAATCTTATAAATGGTAAAGTAAGTTAGCAAATTTTGATCCTGACATTTTCTACAAAGTAAGCTATCTTGCTTGTCTATGATAACCTCCAGCACTGTAGGAGAAAAGGAACTGATATAAGGGTTTGAGAAATAAAGTGGAGTTTCTTTCATGTCATTTCATAAGTGAATGAGGTTATACCTACAACCTATATGCATTAGTAGTAGAATGCTTGCAACACCTCACTTTAATTTAATGAAAAATTGCATTGTTACACTGTAAACATGCAACTCCAAAGTCACTACATTTCACAGCAAGAGGTACTTAACCACTTATTTTCAAAATCTGAAATCTTCTTTTAACATTCGTTTTTTTGTTTTCTTTCGCACAGGAAATTCATGAACACCTTCTCTTCACTGTTACATTATTCATTGCTGTGGGAATATTTATAATCATTTTTATTCTTGTGTGTACTGAGGCGTTGTTTCAAAGATGGATGAAGATATTTGCATTGGTCATTTGGATATGTCTGCTTGCAATGGGATATGTTTTCATCTTTGCTGGTAGCGTTATCTCTGCTTGGGACCAGGTAAAGCACATCCCAGTTTTAAGTGTGTAGTTATAGTCGTATCCTGTAGCTGCCTCAAAAACATTATGATTTTCTTTTTAATATGGCATACAAGCTTTGTAATTGTTGTGTAATTGTTTTGCTGTGTTCTGTGTTGTGCTGCTATTGCTCTTTATTGTGAAGCTCACATGACCATTAAACTACCACTGTATCTAGCATTAGCCAATATGCCAGACAACCTGTATACATTGTATTAAAGACTGCTATTTTAGATAACCCAGGAGCCAAACTGGATTCAGTCCCAATTAGCACAGATATTGTGTTTTATACTTTTCTTTGGCTGGGGAGGAATAGAAACATTATTCATTCTAAAAACTGCAGTTTTTTTTTACATTTTCTGCTATAAGATGTTTGTGTGAGAAGTAGCTCTCTTCTACCAAAGCTATGGAAATGTTAGAAAAGAGTTCAACTCCTTGAATCAATTTGAAAGAATTTTTGTTGCGTTCCTTGCTAATTCATATCAGGAGCTAAGCCAGTCAGTGTTCCTTCTGCATATTGTATACTGATTAGTCTACGATCAAATTAAATATCCCGGGTAGTGATAATCACACAAAAGCACGAATGATCATAAATTGACTACTTAGCATGTTCAAACCATGTTTTGACTGCTAGGAAATGAAGTTGCTATTAATTACTCACCATGTATTAAGTTTCTGAGATGCTGAACGCCCATTTGATGATTGCTTTTGAATAACTAATAAGTGATTCCCAGCTATTGTAGAACTTAGGGTGTGACTGCGTATCAGTCAGAGTCAGGTGAGGAGGACACACAATCATGCTTGCAATTTTCCTGCATTACAATTAGAAATAGTCACCTGTTTGTCTGACTAGGGAGTGGTGCACAAAACAGGGAGGAAATGTATATTTTTTTCCTGCTAATTTTTTTAAAAAAAGTTTGTTTGTTCATAAAATGTTCTTAGTCATTTTGTGACATGGCGGTTGTAAATGGGCCAAGGTGCAAATCTTTACAGCTCGTGTAACAATGTCATATTTTCTTCTAGGTGCCATTCTTTTTGTACATAGTCTTCGTTTTATATACCATGCTGCCATTGAGTATGCGGGATGCCATCCTTGCCAGTATACTTTCATCTGTCTCTCATATTATAACCCTCAGTATTTATCTAAGTGTAAATGACTCTCCATTGTCAGCTAAGCTCCTGGCTTTTCAGGTGAGTAATGTTGACTAACTTGCTTCAAAAATATCTGAGTGTAAAATATTAGCGCATGACTCCAGGCCAAAACTGCTGAGAGAAAATGTGCTGTAAAATGTGTACCTTCTAGATCTTAAACCCAGTGTGAGTGTGGCCTCTCCTATTTAGAGAGCTGACATTTGGCTAATTCCACACTCTGTAGTGGAGATTTTACGTGGAATGAAGCTTATTTTACTCAAAGGTGTTATTAAAATTTTCTGCTATTCCTCAAGCTAGAACCCAAACATCGCCCAAACACATACAATAACAGCAACACAGTGATGCACGGCTGAGTCTTTAATATCCTATGTCACGTACAGTGTGATTTTTGTACCTATGATTTCCCACACAGTCAGCCTTCAGTTTCTAATCTCTGTGAAATAGGGAAGTATATTTCCATAGAGGTAGTCTTCAGCCATTCTTGTGCACTTTATAGTGGTGTTGTGTGAGTTCTGTGGAGTGGGTCTCCATAGTGCCTAGATTCAGCAAAGAATGAACGTGAACAAGAATAGTTTTTTCTAAAAAAAATTGACGTAAACTTCTTTTACTCTTAGCATATTTTTAACAATTGTTTAGAAGCCACTTTTTGCCACCTTTTGTATTTCTTTGGATTAGAATGGGATTTAGGCCTTGTTTTGAAAGCAACTAAAGGTTCCATTAGTTCGCAAGGGTGTAATTTTTTTTAAATTAGAGGTTATTCAAATGTTCAATGCATTTGGCAGATAAGAAAAAATGATGCCATAATTGTTTTATTCCTGTTATTTCAGATACTGGCCAATGCAGTGATATTTTTGTGTGGCTGCGTCGTGGGCATCTTTCATAAGTTGGTAATGGAACGTGCCTTAGAGCAAACTTACTGGGACACTTTAAGTTGTATTGAAATAAGAATACAGCTGGATGTGAAGAAAAAACAACAGGTGAGTGCTGTCTTGTTTGCGAAATTGCAAACTTCTCTTTCCTGCCTATTGTACATACTAATAGATTTCATTTTTGAAAACTCCATTCAATTGGGATTTGTGATCAAGAGAGGGAGAAGTACACATAATAAGACCATTCATTGAAAAAGATTTTCAACATGAAGCTTCTCGTTTTTACCGCACTTTTTCCTTTTTCAACTCCTTCACCAGCAAATAATGATACTGTATAGATAGAAATGCCATTCACACTATCTGTCAGTACAAAGGTGTTTTATACATTCTTGTAACAGACCCGAGTTGGACTGGTAATGGTTAAAATCTTTATTATTGTTATCAAGTGGATTACCTACTTTCCCCTGTTCTCCGAAGGCACTAACTAAAGTGCATTTCTATTAGCACCAATAGCCTTCTGTTACCTCACTAACATTCCAGGTATGGGTTCCCAATCCTCTCCCAATAGCCACACACTTTCCACTAGGAGTTACTGAGTACTGAGCCCATTTATAGCATGCATAATGCTGCCATTTGCTGAATGAGGCTAATGAGCTCAGAATAGGGCAAGGATTGAACTTGGGATCTTCCTTGTCTGTACAGCTCAATACCACACGATATCGTTAACTTACCCACTGAGTCATTGGAGATTTGCCGTGCTATTTTTTGCCTTGTAATCAGTGGCTGCAAAGGTATTATTGATGAGGTTGTAAATATTATATGTGGCTGACATCCGAAGAGTTTAAAGCAGGAGTTGTTATTATAGGGTAGGAAAATGCATGATAAGTAGCACGTATTGTATGTCAATGTTGCTTTGAAGCTGCAATGGACTTGGGTTGAGTTGAATTAAACCAGGTAGTGCAGTTCGATCTTTCGTGACTGGGATCTGGTTTTGAATACAACCCAGTTGTTAACATGCAAGGCACCACAGCATGAAGCTACTGCAATGGATTGAAACAAAAGCCTCCTTCAAGGCCGGTCTGAAGACCTTTCTCTTTGACCGTGCCTTCAGCTCCCCTCTCGACTCTCTACCCCCTCCTCGCTCCCTCCCTTCCCTCCCCTCACCCTGACCATTTCCCCCTGCTCGGGTCCTGACCCAACTGTCCAGCGCCTTGGGACGTCCTCCCGACGTGAAAGGCGCTCTATAAATGGAATCTTGTTGTTGTTATTGTGCAGGAAATGGAAAAAAATTAAAATATTTACAGGGGGAGAGGGAAGGAGAAGAATCTTCTGAACTGGCACCTGGTACATAGGAGGGGTACTAGAGAGAGCTTTAGTTTTGCTGACCTGACACTACCTGACCAATGTTGGAAGGGTTCATTCTCCAAAACATTCGCATTCAAGAGCACAAAACATCGTCAAACAATATAGATTTCATTTTATTGGAGAGTGGCACAGATTGTCGTCGCATTTTCCCCTGTGTTTGCACAATCAGCCATTTTCACAGCTCTTCGGTTTAAAAGAAAAAAGTAACTGGAAGATGAGAGAAATTGATTTTATTAAGTAATAATAATAATATAAAATTCCTTGCATTTGATATAGTGCCTTATAACGTAGATGTCTCAAAGCTCTTCACAGGATATACTGTAAAATGTAGTGACTGTATTTCATGGGCAAAGTTACATTTAACCCTAACCCTATATAAATGCAACTTGTTGTTTAGTATTTCATTTATGTTACATATTACCAATGCTAATTTTTAGAGTCTTTTATTTTTTTTAATTCCAGGAAAGCTTGCTGTTATCAGTACTGCCAGCGAATATTTCTATGAAAATGAAACTAGCTATTATTGAGCGTTTGAAGGAAAGCAACGACAGTCCACACAAACAGGATGTGTCAAACAATTTCCACAGCATGTATGTGATGAGGCATCGAAACGTGAGGTATTGAGAAAATATTAATTGGTGTTTCGTTCACAGTGATCGGAAAAGTTGTGTTTACATTTTAAATAAATCTGTCATTTTGATTCAATGATTAGGGAATCAGAAAGAAATTAATTCAAAAGAAGAAGGGAGTTTCTCCCAATGTCCTGACTAGTAGTTACTCAGATAACAACAACAACAGCTTGGATTTATACAGCGTCCTCCACCCCGGATGGCATCTCAGAACGCTTCACAGTAACGGATCCCGGGGCCGAGCCAGGGGGAGGGGGAGGAAGGTGACCAAAGGCGCGGTCGAAAAGAAAGATAAAATCGATAATTCACATTGCTATGCGTAAATTGATTGTCGTGCTCGTCCATATCATACATAGTCACTTCACTTTACATTAAATCCCGTGAAGCGCTTTGAGATGTCGTCCTGACTCAAGCAGTGCAGGTGTCAACAGAGATGTGGGTAAAGTTGGAAAGTTAACCAAGAAGATGACCAGTTGTCCTCTCCAGGCAGAGTTGTTTGAAAGTTGCCTTAGAAGTTTGTATTTTGGTGTCCTGCTCTTATTCCCATCTTTTTGATTTTTGGTTGCTGACAGCATCCTGTATGCAGATATTGTAGGTTTCACCCGTTTGGCTAGTGACTGCTCGCCCAATGAACTGGTTGTGATGCTGAATGAACTGTTTGGGAAGTTTGACCAGATAGCCAAGGTAGGCATTAGTTCTATTTCCCCGTATACAAATTGAAGTCCCATTATCAGCACTCATTTTAGAATGAAATACTGTGTAACTGCTTTTCTTTTATCTCAATCGCCCTGATTCTTGGTTTGCGAACGTATACGTTTGTGCACTCTTTAATAGGGCAGGCGTGTCGACTTTTGAGAATATTTTGATTTGGGTCTGAATGCAAATATTTAAAGAAGTCACCCATATGAAAACTACTGTATTACTTCTCCTGTATACGACTGGCTGTGATGTTTGAGATACTTTGCAGAAATGAAAAAAAAAATTTTTTGTTTCTAAATGCACACACAAACACAGTGGATATTGCAGTTTCAATTCTCTAGCGTACTTAAGAGTTTCTGTGTATTCCTCGTGGCAACCAACTTCAATGTATCCATTTCTAGACAGCAAATGTATCTAATTATAGTTATAAGGGAGTCCCTTATAGTATAGATGGTTTAATGTTTGCTAATAGTCCAAAGAGTTTGCTATGTTATAAAAATAAATGTTAATAAAATTTTGTTAATTTCTGTAGGAGAACGAATGTATGAGGATAAAAATACTGGGTGACTGCTATTACTGTGTCTCAGGACTTCCTGTATCGTTACCAAAACATGCTCAGAACTGTGTGAAAATGGGCCTTGACATGTGTGAAGCTATCAAGTAGGTAACTTTATTATATGATAAGCACTTCGGCAAATACTGTTTAATTTAGCAGCTAACAAGATTGGTTGTCGAATTACCATCGCTGGAAATTATTATTAGCCACAAATTTGGACTGTAAATTGAGAAGAAGGTGGAACTACGGCACCAAATCATGAGTTGTTATCCTTTTGCAGGCAAGTCCGGGATGCCACCGGAGTGGACATTAGTATGCGAGTCGGTGTTCATTCTGGCAATGTATTGTGCGGTGTCATTGGTCTCCGAAAGTGGCAGTACGATGTCTGGTCGCACGACGTCACCTTAGCTAACCACATGGAATCTGGCGGACTGCCTGGGTAAGATCTCTGTCTGACACTCTAACAGCAAACGTAGATTTTAAAGTACAAAACACTCCTGTCTGCCAGCCATCGTCAAAATTAAATAATTTTTAACAAGGACTGTCCTGGTGGCTCAGTATATGTCTGAACCAGACTAAACTGAAGCTGTCCCAGGTTGAATTCCTGGTTTATATGACAAATTAGCTGTTCTCCTCCAAGCAGGGCTTGGTTCAGGTCGATTTCTGCTATGGTGCTGTCCATCTCTTAACTTACAAAATGAAGCAAATCAATATTCTAATCTTTTCTGTATCTGAATCAAACTTAGTGAATCTTCAACTTATCCAACTGGGTCAAATTGAATGATGAGGATTCCCCAACCAGATTTTTGTTTTGAAAGTAAAGCACCATCTCATCCCTCAGCCAGACAGAAATGTTAAACCCAGGCATCAACAGATCTTGCATTAAGGTCATTGATTGTGTCAGCCTGAGTCAGGTAACTTTTGAAATGTAAAAAATCTGAAAACTCAAGGATAACTCTTTTTTTGTCAAATAAATTACAAAAGTTTGAGAAACTGGGGAAAGTCAGAATTAAGTTCCATCTGCTTTTTGCTTCAGTCCTAAATGGTTCCTTTAAGGAGAGAGCAGGCAGTATGGGAGTTTTTTTTTTTTACAGCTCTAATGTATGGCAACAACCGGCATCGCAAATTTTGGAAATTCATTGTTTTGTATTTTGAAAGTGTAAAGCTAATCCCCGATTAAAGAATTAATTAAGATAGAAGTTGAGACAGAGGGTGCAAAAAAACAGTTATTCATAGTTACAGGTATCCTGTCTATATGGTATAAATCTTGTGTTTTACACAAGGTGTTTGAGAACAGAAGCATTGTCAAATATTTCTATCAATATATAAGCTTTAGTTAGCTGCGGCAACAAAAACCCTTTCTTTTCATAGTTAATTTTTTGTGAATGATAAGAATAGCCTAGCCCTTGTGTAAGCTCTGGTCAAAATCAGAAATAGAATTCGAGACAGGAGTTGCCATGGAAATTGGCCTCACAGAACAGAAATGGAAGCCAATGGAGACATTTGTCCTAATTTTCACACCATTCACACCCCTGTTTGTTTTTACCCTGAGCAGTGACCAATTGTGGACTAGACGGAATTTGTTTCGTCTCTCACGATTTAGATTAAAATACACAGCAGAACTCTGGAGTGCAATGCTCAGATGCTGCTTTCTCACTGAAGTAACAGAATGTAGCTTAACTGAAACAAAGAGCATATTGTGCTTCAGTCGAGCAGCGCTGCCATACACATAAGCGATAAAGGTAAAGTAGAGCAATATTATGAAAACCCATGGGATAGACTCTTCTCACAAATGGGCCAACCCGATAATTCACCAGCCATCAAATTGCACATGAAATGTGATCAGCAGCACAAGTGGAATGTAAATTGCTTGGCACAGGTCTCGATGGTGTATTCTCCTGTGGAATAAAGAGATTAAATTGGTGCCGTGCCATCGGTGCTGGAGCGTAGGTTCCGTTTCCCGCTACTGTGCTGAAACTCTGAATGAATGAAGGTTAAACATGTCCCCATAGTCATGAGCATGGGAAATTGGAGTGCAGTCACTGACAACAATTTCAGACCCCCTCCCCCCACCCACCCCACCCCCGAGTACAAAGCGTGAGCAAACTGAGAAAACATTTGTTGGAAACGAGCAATAGAGCCTGCAGAAGAAAATTCAAAGGGCAATGAACTTGTTTATTGGTGTGCTGTCGTTTAGTTTCCATGGCACCAGCGGCAACAGAAGGCTAATCCAATTCCTGTTGTTCGATTTGTGTGTCAAGATTTTCTTCAGGCTATTGTTCATAATAATAATATGACCGTTGTTAACTTTAAATCTGGATATTTTGTTTGGGAAAATGGCATTTCACTGGACACCTTCTATCAGCACTGTGAGCTGATGGTTTTTCAAAGTATCAACCAGTCAAGTGCAGCAGGGGATGAAACTCACTGGTGTGAGTGAGCTGATGTCGGTCACAAACCAAGTTTGCTCTCCATTTAAAACAAAATTAACAAACATATTCACAAATAATTATTGCTGTTTAATCTGACACTCAACGTAATTTGGTATCTTGGTGTCAGAAAATCACTTTTTGATGTAGAAAAGTTTTATTATTTACATAGTGCAGAACCTGTAATCATTTTTTTAAAAAAAACATTATGAAAAACTTTTGTGTTGTTGCACAATTTATAATAAGCAGTAATACCTGTTCTTTTACATAGAACACAGAAACAGGCCAATCAGCCCATCTAGTCTGTGATGGTGTTTATACCCCAAATGAATCTCCACTCCTCCTTATGCCCTTTTCTGTGCCTGCCCTATTTCCTCCTCCCTCGTGTATGCATTCTTGCTTGAGAATGCTACATAAATATTTGGAATGTTAAATGTTTGTTGGTGACTGTACTTCACTTTTCTTTTGGACTAGTCGTGTACACATCACTGAATCGACATGGGACCACTTGAATAAAGAGTATGAAGTGGAAGAAGGAAATGGACACCAAAGAAATTCCTACCTCAAGGATCTGAACATAAAAACGTATTTGGTCATTGATCCAAGGGTGGGTGTTTTCATTTAAAATGTAGCTTTTCACTTTGTTTCAGTAATCTCTTTGTTTTTATGTGTTGTCATATTTTTGCATTACCCACCTAACAGTGACGTTCTTTAAGGCGTTCAGGTGTTTCAGTTTGTGTTTGCCTTCCTGTTCCATTGTATTGCAGACCAAGCAGCAAAGTCAGAAGATCAGGCAGCTCCAGAAGCCAAAACATGTAAACGACGGGCTGAAGATGAGAGCATCTGTCCGTATGACACGATACCTGGAGTCGTGGGGTGCAGTGAAACCATTTGCTCACCTCCAGCAACGAGAAAATGTTAACAGTGAATTCCCAGCAACAAATGGAAAGATCAGGAAGGCAAGGCCACGAAATCTGATGCATATACACATTTTTCATTGGAAACCTATCGATCAACATTTTCTGAGATTTTTTTTCCTCTTGTGTTTTAGGATATACCACTGCGTGGTCTCCACAGGACATTAGATAGGTAGGTCTTTGTAAACCGCATTCCAGATTTAAAAAGGAAATCAAATTTACAGAGGATATTGAGTAAAAATATTCAACAGCAACAATTTTATATAGCACCCTTCACACCGGTAGCCTCTCAGAGCACTTAACAGCAGTCTGGTTGGTCTGATGCTGTTCTGTCTGTATTCAGAATCTTTCAGACAAAATTGCTATGCTACTTCGTAGATTTATTACAAATATTAATTGCTCAATTTTTTCTTTCACCACTTTTGATTCTTGGGTTTTCTCAAATGGCTGCAACATCTATCTAACAAAACATTGAACGACTCTTTCCTGCATCACGCTAAGCTCAATAATGATGGCTTGAATTAGATGGTGAATAGTGCACATGGCTTTTCTCTGACGACTGCATTGTTAACTTCCTAGAAACCAATCGCAAAAGAGACGACTTGAAGAGGAACTGCACGATCGGATGTTAACAACGATCGATGGAATCAATTCACAAAAGTATGCAACTTTTTAACTTCCTTCGGTTGAAAAATGCTTTTATTATGTACAATATAATACAAATTTACATTTATACAGCACCTTTCATGTCGGGTGAACATCTCAAGTATTTGAATAATAAAAGATCTTAGGGTCAAAAAAGACTTGAAACATAAAATGCATTTTGTGGTGTGTAATTGAACCATAGAGTCAATGAATGTGAGTGAAAATCTATTGCTTTCCTTAACCATAAGCACATTGTATCTTAATTACATCTGGCTCATGTCCTGCTCTATTTGTTTCCATTTTTTCACAGACAATGGATTAAATCTGATGACTTTTTCAGTATATCACTGTTTTATAGTGAGAAGGGATTGGAAAAACAAGTGAGTATGCATGCTAATGAACACTGGCTTATCACACTGCATGCTGAGACATGGTAAAGAGGTAAAGAGGTGTTATCGTAAAGTAAAAGAAAAATGACTGTCTCTGATATGTACAAAACTCAAAGTAGGGAGAAATCCGTAGTTTGTTTCTTTCAAAGACGCACAGAGCCCCAGTCACTGGTGTTGTCATCTTGAATCAATTAATGTAAAGGTTTAAATCTATTTTGTTACAAATTGTAGGTAATGGTCAATATCAAACAATAATAATAATCATTCCTGACATTTGGTTTAGCTCCTTTTACATCAGGAGGACATCTCCCAAAGCTCTTCTTGGAATACACTGTTATAGACAATAGACCGTTGCTCAGAATTGAAAGAGTGCAAAGAACTAGGCATATTTGGATAGCACTTATTCAATCTATCGTATGCTGTCTTTCAATAATGCAGCTCTTATCCTGAGATATCAAATTCAGCTCAGAATTGTGAAGCAGAACTGAATTTAGCCTCAATTTTCTGAATGAACCTTTGTCCCGAAGCAGTTTATGTGTTTTTACTAAAACACTGAGTGGATGTATGTTCTGTGCTGTGGTGTATCCAGAGCCCGAAAAGTACAGGGATTTAAATAAGGTTGCTAATGCCACACCGCTTCGATTCCCTTTTATTTCGGAGCTAATTTTAAGGGGATAGATAGCAGGCTAACTCCAAGCCATCATGCTCCACCTAAACCAGCCCACGTTGTATTCTTCTAGATTTAAATCATTCTCGAAATTTAGAATCCAAATTTGCTCCTGTAGCAAACCTAAGGATTCTGCTTCACTTTAATGTAAGATCTGGTTACATGCCCTGTTCGGTTGGGGCATGTTTTCTATATGTAGTGAAAATACAAAGCGTTGATAGCATTTTACTTTCATAATGCTGAATCCCGATTCTTAAAAGTTGGTGATGTAACTGTGGTGCAGCAATTCAAATCTACTTGAGGGAATGGAGTGATCTGCTCATGTCGTGTTCCAATATCTCTTCAGAGCAACTTGTCAGTAGCAATCAGTTTCAGTTCTTGTGCAACCACTCACACTCCAGACAGTCACACAGGCAAGTAATTCTATCTTTTATTAAAGCAGCAGTCAGAAGAAGGCCGATGCAGATTGCTGTAAGGACACAAGAAAGAAACTCAGTCACAGAATCCCATTTGCAGTCTACCCTCCCTGCCCTCCTCCCCTTCCTGATCCCAAACACTAGCTTGGTTTAAAAAAAAATGCTGTGAGGAGAAAGTACATAATAATAATCCTTGCATTTGATATAGCGCCTTATCACATCTTTGAGACCTCTCAAAGCGCTTCACAGGATATATTGTAAAATTGACTGTACTTTGTGGGTGAATAAATAAAATGGAAGCTCTGTTGTTTATTGTATCTTACAATGGTTGTTTTTGCTTTGCAGTATCGTGCAGTCAGTATTCCTTCCTTGAAGTATTACATTGGTTGCGTCATGTTCATATTTCTCTGTATATTTGGGGTCCAAATGTTTGCAACCGAAAGGTAAGTACTGGCCTCATGAATCGACTTCATATTTACGTTTAAAGGTGCTATACAAATCTTGTTGTTGTTAAACATTAAATAACCGATTCTACCTTAAACAATTGTTTATTTATCTCTTTCCCCACACCACCCAAAAGGAATGAAACACTTGGAATATCATTTGGAATAGCTGCCTTTATTCTCCTGATAATTCTCTTCATTTGTTTTGCCGGGCACCTAAAGGTGAGTTGGTTTTAAATCAAATTCTCATCGGTCACTGAATCTGCCAAATTCTCTTTCAACAATTCATTACTCACTGCAGAACAATTGTAATTCAATATATCTATTGTATTTATGTGTAACCTTTAAAAATATTACCAAAAAAGCTTTTTTTTCTCTGAACAACTTTAAAATTTATTTCTGTCGCAGACAGTTTTGCGTAAAACATCTGTTATAAAGTGTAACAGTGAAACAACTGTCGACTGATCTCTCCTCTCTGTTCCGCACAGCAGTACTGCATAAAAACATCTTCCTCTTCAAGTTGGTTCAGTCTCATCTCAGAAAGTGTTACAAAGAAACCGATTGTGCGATTACCGTTGACTGTCATTGCGATGGGAGTTGTGCTACTCATTGCAGTTATCAACTTGGTGAGTAATCATCAAGAGCCATGACAAATAGTCCAGTACCTAAGGATATTAAGAAATATGGAAAATACAATGTAATGTAATTAAAGAGTTGGCTTGGACTTAATAGTAGAGTGGGTTGATGGGCCAAATGGCCTCCTTTTTCAATGGAATTTAAAATAATGATCCTTGCATTTGCTATAGCATCTTTTTTGATGTTGAGAGCACTTCACAGGAATTACATTAGAGTGTTTGCTCACAGCAATGTCCCACAGAGAGCCATGAAATGAATAACAAATTTTATCTGGGGGATTATTGGCTAGGACACAAGGTGGAACTACCTTCTCTTTTTGCAAAGGTCCACGGGGATCTTTATCATCCACCTGAACTGGCAGATGGGGCCCTTGGTTTACTGTCTCATTATAAGGGTAAAATGATGGAGTGCTCCCCTTGCACTGCACTGGAGTGTCAGCCTGGACTGTGAGTTCAAAGTCCCGGCATAGAGCATTCAACATGCGGTCTCCTGATTCAGTGGGCATGTACTACCAACTCAGCCAGACTAACACTTACAGCTGGAATGGGTTACCAGGAAAGATGATTGAGTCCAGGACACATGATTTCATTTAAAGTTCAGGTTGTAATGGGTGGCTGCAGACTGGGATTGCCTTGATCAGACTCCATAGTGATTTGGAGAGGTGCTGAGCTGTAACTGGAAGTGAAATTTCCATTTTGTTTTTGACACTGCAAGTTAGCCATCAGTCAGATTTATAAAAACAATGCTTTTCTTAGACTGTGTCTGTTCCAGTGAAAGCTTTAATTTTGTTTTTAGATTAAATAATTTAATTTTACCCACAAGATATAGTCAATTCACTTTGCAGTATATTCATGACGTCTCGAAGACGTGATAAGGTGCCATATCAAATGCAAGGATTATTATAACTTATTTTTTTATTATCATTATTATTTTTTGTCTTCAGTGTATCAATCCCCCTAAAGCGATGGGCAACATGACAATTGTTGAACAAACGAATGCTCTCTCCTGCCTTCCTGTGAGTATAAATACTCATCCAGCCCTTTTTACAACTTTCTTGACCAAAAACATCCATTCAACTACAATGCCAACAGCTATAAAGTACCTTGTGCATTTCTTAAAAGAATGATCGTGTAGAAGTTAATAGGTTTTGAATATTTTATGACTCAAATTTGATACATACACTTTATCTTTGCAAATTTTTCACAAAAAATTTCCAATGTTCAAAAAAAAATGTTTGTGCAATTACAGTTTCTCAAGAAAAAGTTTAACAGCAGAATAAAGATTCTACATTACAATCTCTTCTTCCCTCTTCAGTGTAGCTAGGAGTGGAGTATTTTTATATTTCAATCCATATATATATATATACTCAGTAATACAATCTAATACAGTCTGGTCAAGACAGATCTAATGTTTGATAAATTTGGTGTGATAATACAGTAGTAAAATTACTCCTGATGTTGAGCAGCTATTATTATGATGATTGTTTTCAGTACCAAGGCAAAAGATCTGTTTAGCTGCAGTTTCTCAGGACCTGCTGTTGGTCTGAGGGTTGAGCTAGCTTCCTATATTGGTGCCTAGCAGGACACTCATGTTTTATTTTTTTTTGGTGTGGCTATTCTGCGATTGTGTCAGGTGCCCTGCTTCATTCACATTGATATAAAAAAGGAGCGTTAAATCGAGAATCGATGCACAACTCATTGCGCGCTGGCCAAAAGGTTGTTAAATTGGGTTTGTTTCCACGAGATGGTTGCTGAAGACTATTGTACATTCTAAATTGTTTTTTTAATTTGCTTCTGTTTTGGCAGTACTACATCTATTGTTGCATTTTGGGACTCATTGCTTGTTCAGTTTTTTTCCGAGTAAGCTTTGAACTCAAAGCAGCCATACTAGTCATTGCCTGTGTGGCTTATAATTTCATCCTCCTGGACTTCCAAGCTTCCTTGTTTGACGTCTACAGAGACAAATTGTACACGAATGAAAACGGTACCAGGTAAGACTTTATTAAAGGTGGAAATAAACACCTAAAAGTAAATCAGCCAAATGAATAAGGATATTTGACACTGGAATGCATTTAGGAAATCTCTTTACAAAAATGGATTGCAACATCTTCGGTAACAGCTTCAAAACGCACCATTTAGATGTGTCATATGTAAAAGAATGCCTGTAAATACTTTTGTTGAAATATTTTAAGAAAGTAAAATGTGAAATTGTAAACTTTGCTCGTTTTATTTTAGTGCCACACTGTTACCTCACACTTAAAAGAATTACCTTGTTTAGTCAAGGCTGACTTACAGCAAATTCAACTCAAAAGCTTTATATGTGCATCAAATTTCTCATTGACTAAGTCTCAGATACACCGATTATTCATTGCTGCTTTTATGCGTTATAAATTACGATGTGCTGAATCTAAAATTAATTAGGGATGTAATGTGTCTCTACTTGTGATGTTGAATGGTGTTGGAAGAGAAACAACTAGACCATGCAGTATTAATTCCACTTACTGTGAAGCGTTGTTTATCTCTGTGTGGAAAAGCTTGTCCCAAATCCGAGTGAGACCTGCTGTGTCTCCAACGTGCATTTGGCCTGGCTGCTTATCAAACCTTTTTTTTGAGTTGACTTGTATCCTATTATATATGGAATTTTTCACACTCCATTAGAGTGTCAACCTAAACTCTGGGAGTTCAAAGTCCCAACGTGGGGTTTGAACTCACAGCCTTCTGTCTCAAGAGGCGAGAGCGTTGCCAAATGAGCCAGCTGACGTTTTGTTGACTTGTTATCAAATTGTTGGTTTACGTGAATTGACGTGGAAATAATTTGTCGTCAATTACAATATCCCTGATTTATATTTTTCAGCATTGAAAAACCAGGCCCTTTGAAAAATCCAAAGATTATGAGCTGTTTTTACCTGATTCTGTTTGTCAGCACTCTGCTGTTTTTAACAAGACAGGTAACAAAAACAGAAACTCTACTGCATAACAATACAGTGTACACTTTGTTTTTCTGCCAATAGTTTACTGATATGTACGAGTGTGTTTTGCTTTTGCTCGCAGAATGAGTACAACTGTAGACAAGACTTCTTGTGGAAGAACAAATTCAAAAAAGAAAGGGAGGAAATCGAGACGATGGAGAACGTGAATCGACTTTTATTGGAGAACGTGCTACCAGGACATGTGGCCGCCCACTTCATTGGTGAAAATAAAAAGAATGAGGTTTGCTTTCTTGATACTCGACTGAACTCTCCAGCACAGGGTCCCTGACAACTCAGTTAACTTAAACGTCACGTAATATTAATAATATGTTAACTGTTGCATGTTATTTTCTGTTGCAGGATTTATACCACCAGTCCTATGACTGTGTTTGTATCATGTTTGCTTCAATTCCTGATTTCAAAGAATTTTACACAGAATGCGATGTAAATAAAGAGGGACTTGAATGCCTCAGACTATTGAATGAAATAATAGCTGATTTTGATGAGGTAATTATGGGTTCTGATTCCTGGAAACTCGTTTGACACAATCTGACAGTTAAACATAATCTGTTTCACCGGCTCTCTAAAAAATCTATTTGTTAATGTTTTCTTAAGAATTTTGTTGCTTTCCAACATACTTGCTCATTGCAATTGGCTATTTGCTTTCAATATATACGAAAAGCATTACTTTTTCTGTTCTTCCACGCATTCCATGCGTTATGCACTTCTGACTATTTTATAATAATAATCTCTGCATTTGATATAGCGCCTTATCACGTCTTCGAGACGTCTCAAAGCGCTTCACAGAATATAATGTAAAGTGTAGTGACTGTGTGTTTTGTGGGCTTTTGTTTTAGCTTTTGTCAAAGCCGAAGTTCAGCGCTGTAGAAAAAATCAAAACTATTGGTAGCACCTACATGGCAGCTGCAGGTCTCACTATTGCTCCAGGTCAAGAAAATAAACAGGTAATCGCGAGTCACTGTAACATAATCGGTGCAAATCTATCTATTTTTCATAGTACCGTCGACGATTTACCTATTAAAGAATGGTTTGCAACTTCTAAAACCTGCTTGTTCACCTTTGCTTTATTCGCTTGAAGGTAAATTTTAGCTTTTTGTTCTTAAAGCATGTGAACCTGCTACATTTACTGGCATAAAAAGATAATTGAACCTTCTCTTGCTCACTCATCCCCTCCGCCCAGACTTTGCTCTGTGTTAGAATTTAATGGCAGCTGCTCAGCAAAATGCTAATGCTTTGTTTGTCAATTTTACAACCACCAGTAAAATGTAACCAGTGGTGGCTTACAAGCCAATATCTTGGGATCCCAGCCCTCTTGCTTCCATTTCATTCTCACTTTACCTCTGAGCAGGCGAGCCAGTGGAAACAAAGATGTGTTGCAGCTGTTTAGGAAAATTTACGCTCCCGAAAGTTATTTATTAAGCTTCTTTGTTTGCGTCCCATTGAGCAAGCTTCTTTTCAGCATTTTCTTTTAAGAGAAGCCAAGTGTTTTTGTTTGTTATCTTTTATGTTAATATACAATTGTGTACATATTTAAATTGGTCAGTTAACACCTTTACGGCTGTGCAAATTTTCTGACAAATCGCCTTTCCAATTTAGATACAAACATAACTAATGACAATATAGTGATCAAATGATCNTTTTACTTTTCCACAGATGAAACAGATATGGTTCTTATGAACCTAAATAATATATTTTATTAGCAAAATTTGCTTGTGCAACATTCATATCTCAGGATTTGCTCTGAATATAAATTCTTACTGAAGTGGAATCCATTGGTCAGCTAAATGTCTGATTTTTATTTTAATTATTTAATTGATGATTGACTTCAAAAATAGAATCAAAGCGACCGATTTCCCCTTCAAGCAGGTTGTCCAGTGATCCAGTGTTTGACTTTTTAAATCACATTACCAGTCAGCGAGGAGACAATACTGTATGGAAATACTTTTGAGTGCTGCTCTGTTAGACCGTTGGGAGTCTCGTGTAAAATTAACAATGGGACCTTGACGGTTGTGAAAAGAACATGGTGCCATTCTGTGGGGAAAGTGTTGTTGAGCGGGACACACACACAAACACATGGGAGAGAAACACAGACAATCACAATAGCAGGGCCTCCGAGTGGAGTGAAGCCCATTTGCCGCTTGCGCTACACCGCACAGCTGCGTCCAGAGCTGTCTGTTTACCAGACACAGGCTGCGCTTTTCTATTAGCCCAGGTTATGACCACGTTATAATTTTTTTAAAAAGATCCTCCTTTTTCATGTATTTCGTATGCATTTCAATGAAGCAAACGCATACCTTTGCTTTGTTGACTTTTGTTTTCTTTTTAACAGGATGCTGAGAAGCAATTTGCTCAGATTGGTATCATGGTGGAGTTTGCCATTGCCTTAATAGGCAAATTGGATGGTATTAACAGACACTCGTTAATAATTTCAAACTGCGTATTGGTAAGTTGTATTTCTAAAACCTGGAGTGTTACAACTTCTTTCTTATAAACTGCTACATTGTCGATGAACTTGCAAGTTTTTAATATCCATTGATATCCTTTTTTTTATTGTGTACCACAGACATTTGTGCTCACACTTTAAAACTCTTCTCCATTTAATAATCAGTACAAGTGTAACTTTCTTTGTTGTGCACTAGACCAACTGAATGAAATGCCATTCATTATATGAGAACTATTAGTGAAATGTCCACAGTATTCAAATTACAAATTGCACAGAGGCTTTTTGTCTAATCTAAAAAAAATTAACTAACTTGTTATTGGATCATCCTTTTGATACGTTTATCCACAGGAATAAATCATGGACCAGTGATTGCTGGTGTGATTGGAGCACAGAAGCCTCAGTATGACATATGGGGGAATGCAGTCAATGTTGCTAGCAGAATGGAAAGTACTGGTCAGTTGGGCAAAATCCAGGTAACATGACAAGCTCCTAATTTCCTTGTGGACTTGCTTTGGGAATTCACATCTGTATATATTCGTGAAAACTTTAAGAGACGGTGACCACAACACTCTTAGCCGTTTTTACATTAACCTACAATTATTATCTTCTAAGTCAGTCAAAGTTTTAAAATCAAGACTGATAATTAAGACTCAGCTCATAATGTAATATTTCTTTGAAAGAATACACTCTCGTGTACTAATTACTGGCAGTCAAATGACTTGTATTTTCTATGTTCTGGTGCAGCAGAGTACACACACTGCCGTTGCTTTAAATTACAAAGGTGGGCTTCTTGCTTAGCCCACCTCATGTTCTGCTTTCCGTGCACTTTTGCAGTGTTCTCTTGCACTCGTGCCTGTACCAACCACTATGAGGAACAAAGGGATTTTCAGTAAATCGCGCTCCATTTACAAAGGTTACAAAGACCGTACAGTACAGAAACGGGCCACTCAACCCACACCGGTCCATGCCGATGTTTTTACCCACGAGTCTTCACCCTCACATCTTTCTGTTCTCCTCTCCCTCATGTGAAGGTCTAGCTTCCTCTTGAATGCATCTACACTACTGCTTCAGCCAGCGAGTTCCACAATCACACTGCCAACTGCATGAAGTAGTTCCTTGTAAATTTTCTTTTAGATCCCCCCAGTTGCTATCCTATATTTGTGTCCCCAAGCAGTGCAAATAGCCTTATTCAAACCCACGTACCCCCACCTCAGTGTTTCTTCTTTAGCAAAAGAAAGCCTTACCTATCCAGTCTATCTTGATCGCAGTAACCAGCCGACCCTGGTGACATTCTTGTAATCCTTCTCGTATGGAGACCAGAATTGGGCACAATACTCCCAAATGTGATCTAACCAAGGTTTTGTATAAATTCAACATCACCTTAATTAATTAACGCTTGCTGTGGCATCAGAAGCTTCAAGTGAACTCTTCACATACAAGTTGTTGTTGTTCACAGTGTATGTGCATTAACAGCAGTATTGTATGATTTTAGGTAACAGAAGAAACATGCAATGTTTTGGAATGCCTGGGCTATTCTTGTGAATCTCGAGGATTTATCACCGTGAAAGGCAAAGGGGAACTAAAGACTTATTTTCTGTGCACAGACATCAAGTCACATTAATGGTGGCAAGACTAACGATACTTCGTAATAAGCCTTGGATCATGGTTCTGTGTGTGTGCACTTTCAAGAGCAACACTGTCGCAAAACAGTATCATTTTCAGTTCAAAGGCAAACTTTCCATTGCCATTGCTTGTCTCACAACAGGCATTTTATGAAAGAAACGGTAAGGAAAATGATTTCTGCCTGCAGCGATACAATTGAAAATGACATAGCAAACTGGAATGACTATTCCGCATGTCTTATTCCAATTGCTCAATACTGTGCTCACTTCCATTTGTGTGGGAATATCATTTCTTTGTTTTGGCTACATGCTGAGCTCTGAAGATATGTCCCACTCTCATGCTGCGTATGGCAGTGATATGAGTATATTTTATGTTTCAAGTCTAATTTAATTGTATATACTTCTGTATTGATGAAGACTGTCTTAAAACAAAGCACAGATGTCAACAGCAATGAAAAAGCCAATATTTGTGCCTTTTTTGCATCTTGAAAAATGAACAAACGTATTCTGCAAAGGATGGTTCCTGACTAGCTCAGCTGATGTTACAATTATGCAAAAATGTTTTAGTTCTTGTTCCCTGTTGATAGTTAAGTTGTGGCTGCTGCAAATGTTGCAGTCATGCTGAGTGGATGCTTTTTATATTGTTTATTACGAAATCTGGTTATCTAGTTATGATATCCTGTATTTAAGTCCTCCTCAGCTAATATCCACAAGTATACACTGAACTCAACTACTCTTTAGACCTGCTTTAGGGGACATTTTCATAATGATGCTGTGCCTCAGATTTTTTTTGGAGGGGGGGGGGGGGTTTCCAAACAACTTCTATAAGTAATTCTTTACCTAGTCTTGTTCTACTGCTGCTGTCTCACCAATTACTGTGTAATTTCTTACCTGGCAGCCACCACATCTTAAAGCTCTGTGTCTGAAACAAGATTGTACTGTTTAACTTAATGTGTAATCATTAAGCTGCAGAATTGTTTTAATCAGTAATCATTTGACTCTAGATATGCATGTGTCCATATTCCTGATTTAACCATTTAATCTTTTTCAGTATATTTGACAAATCCTGCCCAAACCTTATTCTTGCACATCTCTCAATTGCCCCCCCAAATACTTTGTCTTTCGAGGTACAGCCTTAAATTGCTGAGCACAGTAAATTCAGTAATTGTAGTTTTATATTTGGGAGATATCTTCAAAGTAATACCTTTTCAATTTAGTTACAGATGCACTTCATCTTAATGGTTCATGTTCTATGTCTGCGAATGAAAATAACTAGAGCCTGCACATTAGATAAGACTAGTAAAGTAACGCGTGGAATCCTATTGGGATGGAATATAGAACAAAGTTTTGGATTTTGTTAATGTTTTTTGTATTATAATAAAGGAGGTTGAAAAAAAAATTATGCATTTTATCAAATGAGGATTATTCTCCACGGCGGTAGAGTTACTGGCAAAGAAAGTACCAGCACTGGATAAGTAGACCAGCTGTAATCCAAAGGGACACTAAATATTTCTACTCATTGATGTGTATTAGACGACAAAAAATGAATGCAGAAAGTTATAAAAATCTACATTTATTATGCACACACTTTACAAAAGTCATACAAATGTTTCACTACTGCCAATCATTTAGAAATGTTTAAAAGTACACACTTAAGCACACCGACGATTCATACAGAAATAACAATTGGTTCTTCACCACTGATGGTAATAACCTGTTCACATCGCTCACACTCTGTTTCCATCGCCTCCACTTGGTCACCACTGTTAGCCCCTGTTAAAGCACAAGCTCCACTTAGTCTGTTTAATTTATACAATTAATCTTATTTTTGATATTTGGTTACCACATGTAATTTTTACTTTTCCACTGCAACTAATAGGAATTCCCCCTACCTACCACAGTCAAACGCAGACTGCTATTATTCTATAAGAAATAAGACCATGACTATAAATGGTTAACCTTTTTTCATCCTGAACTCAATTTGAGAATTTGCACAAACCCACAGGCTATAGGTCCAAGCGGCTGTATGAAATGTTGTACATCATTAATTCTGATGCAACTCACCATGTAAAGAGTCTGGCAAAGAGTCTTCCAGCATTTCCAAAGGAACTGTGACCCCCATGGCCTTACGGATTCCAGCAACACTGGTGATGTCACCAGGAGTCACCTGGCTTGCCAACTCTTTAAGGTTTCCAGTCACCTTTTCAGCTGAAAAGACAAAACAGAATATGCCACATACTTTGAAGTGCAGTAATGAGTTCAACTTAATGGATGATGATGTAAATTGCAGAAGTCTGAATGCTGCCGAGTGCACAATACCAAGAATGCAGTTAATGGTTGCCATATTTGAAGGTCAGATGTAAAGGCCACTGAAACGCTAGTTATTCCCATGTCATCTTATCTGCACTGGAGTGGATGCGGGTTGCAACATGCATATATTCAAGGGTTTCTCCACTCTGAAAAATAAACTCATTCTTTGACCAAACACAAATTGCCTAATACTCATTGCATCACAGGACACAAAATCCATCTCACTTACCGATTTGATACTCTCGGATCGAAGGGCCCAGTAGGCAGAGCATGGTTGATGAGGGTTTGGTGCTGAAACGCTCATTCTGTGCTTGTTGCAGCTCTTGTAATAACTTGGTTGTTTCATCCAACTTCTTTTGGAGAATCCCAGACTCTGAAATCCAGTCAGAAAGTTAATGCTTAAAATCAGTTGAACAGCACAAAGCGCCTGGGTATCTTGAAGGACATTACATTTTCTACAACAGCGTGAATTTGCCCTGCAGTGCCTCAAAACAATATTATTAACACTTGTGGAAATTAGGAATAGCCTGGGTTACTGTGGTGCTGGAAAGGCTCCAACTTTACAATCTGACCATTTCCCCCCTGCTCGGGTCATGACCCAACTGTGCAGCGCCTTGGGACGTCCTCCTGACGTGAAAGGCGCTCTATAAATGGTAGCGTTTTCAAATATACAGCCAAGATAGATGGCACACCGTTTTATTTCAAAGTGAAACGTGCTCTGCCAACAGCTCAATATGTAATACATAGTGTAAACTGATACTGACATATTAAGTCGGAACAAGACATGACATCCAGTTTCCAGTATAAAACTCAGGGACTTTCAACAATTTCTGATGACATTTCTTCTGAAGAACCAAATTAGCACAATAGGCTTGAGCAACAGTTCAAACAACTACACGAATAGAGTAAGTTAAACTTTAATCAGTAACAGGCTATAAATAGATGCTAGAGAATTGTAACAATTCCCCTTTTAAAGCAGTCTTTCATTACACACCTTGTGACTCGGTTTCAGTGTTAATTACAGGCCGTAGGGAAGCAAAGCTATCCTTGGTGTTCCCGTGGCCACATTCCAACTCGGCTGGAACAACCTAAATAAAACACAATGCAAATCAATCACTTTACTCGACTGCCCTCAATCCAGAGGTATCCCCATTTTCTATATGGCTATTAGTTTCACATGTACTGGAGCTCTAGTAGCATTCATCGCTGCCTGGAAATTAATCCTGCAGCTACCTTCCTTCCCTTTGTTTAGATGGAACAACTCTGTTGTGTGGTCCCCACCTCACACTATACTTAACTCCTAGGAAGTGCCAGAAATGTTTGGATTAGAGACAACCCTAAACAACCATAAAATGAAGGAGAGATCACTTGTAGTAATAATTTCTATCAAACCTTCCAGGGCAGCCAAGAACACTTTGAAAGCAAGTAAAGTGTACACACCCAAAGATATAATGTGCCCTTTATTCTTGAAAGCCACCCGATGGGGAAAATAATTTCCTGCATACAATATGGGGTTGATGTCAAACGAGGGTCATCTTTCCATGTATCTGTTTCCCCACCACTGACATATTTTCAGACAGACTGAGGCCACCTTCCCTGCCCACCACTCTCTTAATGTCTCTCTTTGTGGCTTTAGCTGGTTAAACCCAAACAGTACTCTAATAACACTCTGGGGCCCTGAGCTCTCCCAACCCCCTCCTAATACTCTCCAAAATTAGGTAGGCAAGATGTGTCTCTCCAGGGAACGTGTGTGCATTGCATTCCAGTCACGTGGAAATTTCACATATACATATGGAACTGTCTAGTTTGGCAAGTCTTACATACAAGTTTCCACATGTGTTAGACACTCTCCTGACCAAAACAAGTTGAACTAAACATGTCCATGATTGCTATTCCTTTGCCTCCCATTTCTTAGAATCACAAAATGGTTTCTGCTTATCTTTACCTACTAATTGATATATAGACACATTGCTACTGAGTCTGGGAATCTACAGAAGAGAATTTCTGCTGAAGTAATCAAGTGCACAGTTCAAGTGAACTATGGAAAGTTCTTAATCCCTCTTAAAACCTATACTGTGACTCTGAGGTTAATTTATTCTTTATGCTGCTTTGCTATTTCAGGATCATGAAGATGTTTGGCATTTTTATTTAAATAAACCATACAGGAAAAACGTCAACGGTTACAACAAATAGACCCCATCTGCATAACAAAACTTACAGCAGATTTAAATCTACATAATGTGAATAATTAACTGCACTTCTAGTAGAGAATAGTCTATAAATAAATGTCAGTGTTACCTGTACATCTTCAGAGGCTTTAAGAACATTCAGATCATTTTCATTGTTAGATATGACCTGCAAGATTGCAAAAATAAATGCTAAATACCAACAAAAATATATACAAGTTACCTTGAACAAAATTAGGTTGAAGAGAAGGAGCAAAGATTCTTGTTTGTTACAGAGGGACACAAAAGGTTTTCCACTGAGAACATTTTTTCGCTTGCTGGTCAAAACAAACTGCGATAAACGGTAACATAATGTATTTAAGTGAATGCAAATATAGTTGCATTCACTTAAATACATTATGTATCAAAACGAATAGGACTGTCAAAAGCAGGTGGAGTACAAATATTTACATGTAAGTTTGATAGACTGAGACATATTTAAAATCTCTGATACTATCCGTGGATGCAAGAAGTCACAAATCTCCTGTAGCTATTCCTGATGCAGCACCTTAAGGTGAATTAAATTCTTGTAGCAATGAGCCGGGCTTTAAAAATACTATACCTCAATTTGATGTAATAAAAAGAGGGGGGGATAATGCTGTAGTATTTGGTTTTTTCAGACCAACTCACATCTGTAATAAATTACTTCCATATCTGAAGAGAACTTTCTGGAATTTGGAAGAACTGCATAAAAAATGAAGCCAATCCTGTCTCTGCTTATTGCTGCTTTTTCCAGGGGTTAACCAGTGATCTTCCAGGTCTAGATGACCAGGTATTTTACCGTATGACACACTGAACCCTCAGCCAATAACTTGGTTAAATGTTTCAGCCTTACAATTTAACAGGATTGTTGGGAAACCACACAAAAGCAAACACTTTTTAAGAGCACCACCACTTTTATACAGAACACAGACTTACTGGTTGCAGCTCTTTCAGTGCTTTCGAATGCTCGCCATTTGTTAGTGAATCTAGCAAATTATCCACCATGTCAACACTGTAGTCACTGTTGCTCGCCAAGAACTGTTGAACACTAGAAACAAATAGATTGCAAGCTACTTCGGTTTTGTTCAGCGTATTTTACAGATAATGCAATAATACAAGTCATTTGCTTTATTCAGGATGAAATATACTATTCCACTTTCCTGAAAGCATTTGATTTTCTCTCCCTCTTCCCCATGCACCTAACAATGCATCTTTTAGACACTATACTTGTGTTTTGATTATTGATCTTAAAAAGGTGAAAAAACTGACCACGGTTCTGAACTTTCTGGCCCCAAGGCAATCGCTTAACCAAGTCAGCTATTCCATGGCATTCCTTCTGTGAATAGAAGGTGTTGTTACTCACCTAAAGGACCCAAGCAAGCTTGAATCATCACCATACGTGGAATACAACAGGTCAGAATCCTCCTTGCTGAGATTAGCACAGGTAGAATCATAACCTGGAGCATAAGAACTGAATGGTCCATAGTTCAAGTACATCACTGCAAGAAAATATCACAGAGAAACATTACCACAATAGTCAGATTCACATTAAACAGTCAGCTGAATCATTAATCCAGGATTAAAGTTAAACATAGTTCCTAATGATAATTCAGTGATAATTCTACCAGAATCTAATCTCAGCTAGACATAGAGCATTTGCTTGCTAGCCAGTTATGCTTTTTGCTCTACTTCCCAATCCTCCTTGCTATTCAAATCAAGCCGTTTGCAGTACTAACCTGGTATAACTTTATTGCGTTTATCCTCTTTAAATCCTTGAAGTGTGTTGATACCAGACTGCAATCTGCCTGTCATCATTCCCAGCTTCACTGGACAGTAAGTTGGATCTGCAACAAATAGCACATTTTACAATAGTGCACTGGAGGAAGAAATACTGAAAGCCCAAGTATCAGTGGAAGAAACTAATTCTCTGGAACCAGGAGAGGGACCGAACATAGTAAAACTATTGTTTATCCGTCAGGACTTGGATTTTAATTCAGCTCCAAATACAATGGGACGAAATCTATAGTCTGCTGAATGCAAATCTCAACCATTTCCTTGCAAGAACGCATTTCAGGACAAACCTGGCCAGCAATTAAAACAAAAAGCAAAACCAGGGAAATGGAAAGTGGTGCCTGCGGTTGGCAAATAACCAGAAGCAGTCGCAACACAATAAAATGGGCTGAATGACCTCCTCCTGTACCGTACATTTCTTTGGTCTCTATATACACACACACACACACACAAAAGCACCAAGCTTACAACCCAATACTGCATACATGGTATATTACCATATTTACAATATAATGTACATAGCACTTTTACGTCAGGAGGGTGTCTCAAAGCACTTTTCACTCCTACAACACACATGGTTACAAATAATTCATAGTGCAGTTGAAGCTTAAACTCAGAAGGTATTACATGCCACAATATTCTGATATTGAAACACAACTGAATTCCAGCTTATTCTCTTACTTACCTCCCATGTCAGGTTCTGTTGGATTCCTGATTCCAAGGGTAGTGGTGCCATCATTTTTTCTTCTCTGGAATTCAAACTGCAGATAAACAGGCACAGCATGTATGTTATTAGGGGAAAGCATTAAACTAGAACTAGTTGGCTGAAGGCAGAGTATTTTCCCCTTCTGCCAATGCTCTTTCTCTTCTGAAGGTGACACTGGGCCACTGTTTGAAACAGTAAAGAAACAGTAGAAAAATTATAATATCTGTACGAAAATGATGACACCTGTACCTTGCTATCTGTTTTACGCCGGGTGAATTTTCCAGAGGATTCTTCAATAATGCGATCAAGCTTTTTCGTTTCTTCATCGATCGCATGATTAGCACCAGTTAGTGCATCCTCGCCAGTGTCTTTTTCTGACCTGTGTAGAGCATTTCAACACAAAAGGATCATTCAAATTGCAAACCTTGCTACTCTCTGTCTCATTCCTAATAATACACAACCACCATTTGACTCTTATTTGAACTATTTTCGAGTTATCAAATGATGACTATAAAATTCTGATTTAATGCGAACAACTTCTTTTAAGTGCAATATATTCTTATGTGCAATTACAAAAGCATTAGACCATTACTTAAACTTTATCTGATGTAAAATGTATAATAATTTGCAAAGTTATTTTGAACACCGCTGTGTTTGCACGACAACAACAACAACAAGATTCCATTTATAGAGCGCCTTTCACGTCAGGAGGACGTCCCAAGGCGCTGCACAGTTGACCACATGGTACTCTGCACTGATGACAATGTTCCTTCTCGTACTTGCACATGAGTTGCAACACATCAGTTCCATATCACGACAGGAAAGATTCACCTAATGGCTGATTCAATATGCTCTGAATAATTCAAATAAAAATAGAGCGCAAAGCCTCTCACTGCACCTGGGAAACAGGGAATATCACGCAACATTTTACTTCTGATGCACTTTCAGTAGTCAGGTTAAAAACTCAAGGCAGACAGAATAACTGATGGGATGCACTCGGCTATTTGTAAAAACAATTTTGAACAAATGTCATACAGAATTAATGTTGCAAAGCGTTTTAATAGAATGTGACTGCTGGAAAGAGCCCTCCATGAGTTGTTTTTGAATAGTCTTTTTCTAAAATCTTCTTTGACCCCCCCTCCTATCCTGATGGCAGTAACTCACACTGGAATAGGATTCCAAAGGTACCGGTTGAAATTAACTAACTCCATACAGAACAGGAATGAGACTTGGAATCTTCTATGTCTGTGTTTCATACTTCCAGTTTCCACATCACTCTACCTGTTGTCTTCACTCGTTTGGTTCGCTGAAGCTCTTTCACCCTTCTCACTGTCCATGGCTTTCCATTTTTCATCCTTCTCGTCCTTTCTGCATTCCCCATTCGATTCTCCCGTTCTGGTCTTATCCCCTTGCTTGTGGGATTTCTCCAGGTCCTGCATGAAGTCTATACTTTGTTTCAGAGTCTGGATTCTCTCCTAGGAAAGCAATTCAAACATTGCTCTATTAAAATTCATGTACTACTACCTGAAGATTTAACTAATGGAGTCCTGTAGCTAAGTGCATGTGAGAGACCTAAGTTCAATTCCAGGCAGAGGGTGAAACCTTGGGCAAGTTTCCTTACTCCACACAGAGCCTAATAATAATCCCGCCAAAAACCAAAAACAATAATAAATTGGTCATATTCAATCTACGACTGTTTGTGGGACATTGCTGTGCGCAATTGGCTGCCGCGTTCGCCCACAAATATACAGTCAATTCACTTTACAGTGTGTTCTGTGAAGTGCTTTGGGAAGTCCTCCCGACGTGAAAAGTGCTATATCAAATGCAAGGATTATTATTATAATAGCCGCACCAATATCAACACTATTTCTTTACCTCAAGTATTCTCAAACTCACAAGGTAACAATATACTACAGCCTCTACAAAACCATAATGATTTAAAAGATTCAAACCCCAACACATTTTAATAACAATAGTAATAATTCTTCACCTTTCAGTGGCAGCAAATTGGCTTAAGGAAAGGAGTTCAGCAAATGAGTTAGCGGAGAAGGATGAGGACATTTCAATCCGACTCCAGTGCAGAATTTGAAAATAAAAATTCTGAATCATCTAAAATTTTAAAACTTTTTTGATAAAACAAATTGTTTGTAGAGGTCTGAAATGTTACACTCCACTCCCTTTGCTTACAGTCGACTGTCGTTGTGTTTGTGGGGATAATAAGCCTGAGTGGAAGGAAAATTGCTGAAGCATTTATAACATTAATAAAGGCATAAATTTAGTCTTTTTTAAAAAAACTGTATGGCAAATTTGTTTTCAAGTGTATTGAAATATATATCTGTTGCCTTTACCGGGCTTAGGATTTTCATCCCAGAGTGCAGCAGTTTCTTTGCAGCTTTGTAGTAAATAGTTTCTGGCCGGTTGTACGTCATTGCATTTTCACACATGGTTCTGAGGTCTCCCTGAAAATTAAAAACAATTAATCTCCAAAATATTTAAATAAAATATACAACTGCAACAGTAAAACTGACTTTTTAAATAAAATTACGGAATAAAGTATTGTAACCATTTCTGCTGATGCTGTATACCGTCCAATTTATTTGCAAATCATAAATCTCTTAGCAATGAGAAAAAAAAGCAAGTTACCAATTGGTCTTTTGGAGGGGAGATAGATGTAAAGTATATTTTTTAAGTTGTCAGGGAAAAGCTAGAATAGAGACAATGAAGCCCAGTTAAGTATTTTGTGATGTTAACTAGATTAAACTGAACACGAGGGATTGGCCGTGTCATTAATTGTTCCAAACTCTAGATTTTATCTTGTGTGACACAGGCAGGTACAAAGGTTACTCTTTGAGAAGAAAAATATGCTGTGAAAGTGATACTTCACATGCTTTTTCAGACAGGTTAAGGTACGCGTCTCAGGCTGTTTGAAAGCGTTGGTTTCATACTGTACCTTCAACTCCTCTAGACTCTGATACTCGTTCTTCTTCACCCTCTCTTTCATCGTACTGAAGTCCATTGGATGTTTAATGATCATAGTGTAACCAGGGGCGATAAAATCAGTAACGGGGAATGAAAAAAACGCATTGGGGTCTTTCCTGAAAGAAAGTAAACAACATAAGAAACCCTTTTATTTGTGCATGCTGCTGAGAATGAGACCTGTACAGTGAAGGTCTCGAAAGTGACTGCATCCTAAGGGCAACGCTATTCTCTTTGTGTGTTTACCTGATGGTACAAATTCAACACAGCCTACAAACTTCACAGTTATGGAATTCATAAAGCATCACAGCACCTAGTTCAACTTGGCACCACCACTAAATGTTATATTCCAGCTTATCAAGTTTCATGATAAGTATTATACTATATTAATTGCAGAATTAAGCTAAAACCCTGATTTTTGTTTAATTAAAGTGCACCAAGCAGACACTAAGATGAATTGGCAGCACAAGTACTTGCCTCTGAAGTTGACGCAACACCTGATGTAGCAGTTCTTGAAAGGGAGTTTGGTATTCTTCATCATGAAGGTAAAAGAAATACAGGTTAGAAAGAACAGTTAAGTAACACAGCACTGAAGAGGCTCATATATATAGGGATTGAAAAGCTTAGCTAAAGCACAAGCATAATAGTTGCATAAATCATGGCTAACTATACATTCTCTCAACAGATGAAGCAATTATTTATCAAGAAGAACTGAACCTTGCAGCAGCTTAAACTCTATCGAAGTTTAAAATGCAGAATAGAAACATTTGGTTGATATTAAATGCTCCATCTACAGTAGACCTTACCTTCTACCTTCAATAAAGGAGAAGCCATGAGTCTGTCCACTGGCATCTCAAACCTTGTAGGTGATTGACTCTTCTCCTCCTCGCCCCTTTCACCAGCGGGTGGCTCTTTCTCTCGCTTTTTCTTGTCATCCTTAAAGAACAAAATTAAAAGCAAAACTTTTAGCAATGTATTGATAACTCACATTTATAGAGCACCTTTCAGGAAAATAATTGATTAGACATAATAATAATAATCCTTCAATTTGATAAAGTGCTGTATCATGTCTTTGAGACATCCCAAAGCTTTTCACAGAATAAACTGTGAAGTGAACAGACTGTGTATTTTGTGGATGAAATAAATGTGAATGTTACATAAGAAATTAAACTTTACATCTTTGCGTTAGCAAGGAAGAAACAACTTAGCACCAGATGTGGATGAGACAGGCAAAAACCAAACACATGTACTGACACGTACTTTTTTCCTTTTTCGTTCATTTTCAGTTGTGCGCTTCTCCTTTTCAATCTTCTTTTTTTTCTTTTTCTTCTTGTCTTTGTGCTTGTCGTAATCACTTTTGTCTTCAAGTAAGCTGGACTCATGTCCTGAAGTTGCCGTCGACAGTTCTGTTATTTCATTCCCACCTACTTTAAGCACCAGTTTCAGAGGTTTATCTTTATATTCTGCAACACAAAAGAACCATCTTTGACTATGTTTTCTTTGTAGGCTGACAAAATACAGAACTAAGTAGATGCAAAACATTTTCTCGTACAAAAGGTGACATGGAAAAATAAAATGGCAACGGTCGTGCTCTTACGTACTTCATAGAAGCTGAATAAAAATTGTCTGCTAGCAGCCCTCCTGGGCGGAAATTACATCTCAAAGTGTCAACGGACAAAGTGGGGAAGGAAAGAGAATTTTTTTTTTTTTGCGAAGACTACATTTGCTTGAAAACCCAAATTAAAAGAAGATGCAGGTGCTCCTTTTGATAAAATACATAAACTGCAAATGATATGCTGCCACCTGAAGGCTCCAATTTCTTTACAAATTGCTGCAACAGTGGCATCTAGTGGTGTTATAATGGTGTTCCCTTATGTTGCTTACAATTTCCTTTGAGAAGTGCTGTTCGAGTTCTATTTCTAGTGATCCTCAAAACACAGGATGGCGGTTTTAAAATTAAAAACGTGCATTAGATTGGTCATTGAACTAAAGGAAATGGAGGCTATTGGCTAAAGGGGTATTTCTTCCCGAGATACTGCATCAGCCATTAATTTCTCACCTCAATCATCTCATTCATAAAATCGTATTCTGCATCAGAAAAGTGCGGGTGCTGTTACTTCTAACGGCGAAGTTAAAGTTATATTTAATAGGAGCTACTTCAATCTAGAATACATATAAACCTCATATTTCAGTGTGTTTTAATTAAACAAGCTTAACACACCATTGGGAATATCCAGTAAATGACAACAGGAAAAAAAGTGAAGCAATGGTACTCTTAACCCTAGATAATAGAAATTCCTTCTGCAAAGACCAATTGCAGATTTCTTCATGTCCCTACAGCTATATTCACCAAAAAAAATCCTACCCGGCTTCTCCGATTTGGCTTCACAGAGGGAGTTAAAACTCTGGAGTGTCGCAGTACGGTTGAAATACCAAAAGGAAATCTTTAGAAATTGGTTCTTTCGTACGGCAACATTTTTAAAAGTAACCGTTAATCTACTTATACAGTGCGATGGGCTGAGCGAAAGGACGGCACAGGCTGATGATACGGGGGAGGGAGAGACCAGAATATTAAGGGGAGAGATTGCAACAGCGGGTTCTGAGAACGCTGTGAATAGTTCTGTCAGATTCTAAACAGGAACCTTTTATTCCGTCGCGCGCCCTGATCGTCAACACACACCGCGACGCGCCGTATCACACGCACAGCTCGGTGGGGGGGAGGGTGGGGGTGGGGGTGTGGGCGGCACTGTTTTTTTATGGGGGCGGTCGGCCGGGGTGTCTGACACACGCGGAATCCCGTCACCGCGTTAAAGGACATCTAAATCTGTTAAATCTAAATCTAAATGAAACCGATTTAAAACAGTTCACCCGATCCGCACATGGAAATCCCAGATAGATTGGGATGGAGTGGAATGCGCGCTCTCTCTCCCCCCCCCCCCCCCCCCCCCGGAGGGATGCATCCTGCCTACCTGATCCCGGAAAGTATTAGGCGCAGGGTGGCAAGAGCCAAGGCTGGGGGGGGGGGTAGCCCAGAGTGTGCGTTGGTTGGGTGGGGGGTAACTGCCGGAGTCTAACCGATTAAAACCGCACAGCTTGCCATTGATATCACTGTCTGGCAAACTTTCCCGCTGCTTCTCCGCCACTGTCAAGCGCCCTGGGACGCTATCCTGCTACATAAACACAAATGGTTATTGCTGCTGTTGTTGTTGTTGTTGTTGAAGGACCACACTAACCCTTGCAGTGTTAACAGGAGCCGAGGGGGAGTTATTAGAGCCACTGTAGCCACACACACACACACAGACACACACACACACACACACAGACACACACCCACACAGACACATACACAGATAGACACACACCCACACACACACTCACACAGATACACACAGACACTCACACACATAGACACACACCCACACACACCCACACACCCACACACACAGACACACAGACACACACCCACACACACAGACACACACCCACACACACAGACACACACACACATAGACACACACACCCACACACATAGACACACAACACAGACACACACCCACACACACCCTAATAGACACCTCCCGCCCTCCCTCCCCGCCTGGCCTCAGCCTCTCTCCCACAGCGGGGGGAGCCAGGGCGAGGCCTGAGTTCCGGCTGTGAAAGCTTAGGCCAGGCCGAGGCTTCACTGGGGCCTCGGGAGGGAGTGGGGGGGGGGTCTGTTGGGAGAAGCGGGAAGTGTGTGTGGTGTGTGTGTGTGGGAGGGGGGGAGGGAGGGGGTGCAGCAGCCGTCTCTCCGGCCTCCCTCCCGGCGCTCGGCCCCTTACCCTCCAGCTGCTGTCTGTCCGCCTTGTGCCTCTTGTGTTTTTTGCCCATATCTCTGTCTCTCTCTCTGTCTCTGTCTCTCAGTCCGGCCCAGGGCAGCGCAGCGAGCGCCGAGAACACCGATCAGCCCCGCCCCCAACCCCAACACCGCCACCAGCCTCAGCCCTGGGAGTCGAGCGCAGACGCACCGATCGGTCAACTCGCCCATTCGGCTGATGACGTCACACAACACCTGCTCACATCGCAGCATCACTTATTCCTTATGGGGGGGGTTTGGGGCGTTTGGGGGTGGGGGGGTTTGGGGGTGGGGGGGCCGGGGTGGGGGGGTTTGGGGGTGGGGGGGCGCGGGGTGGGGGGTTGGGGTTGGGGGGGTTTGGGGTGGGGGGCGCGGGGGTTGGGGGGGTTTGGGGGTGGGGGGGCGCGGGGACGCTGCTGTGCGCAATCGGCTGCCGCGTTTCGCCCACGAGATGTGCAGTCGGTTCACTTTACGGTATGTTCCATGACGCGCTTTGAGACGTCTCGGAGAGAAGACGCGACAAGGCGCCATATCCAATGCGAGGCTCGTCGTTGTTGTTGTTGTTGTTGTTACTATTTGGGTAAACTCATCTCCCGCTGGCGGCCCCGCACCGGGTCATCCCTCGCAGGTCCGCATCGCCACCTGCCACCCTGCGTGAGGGCGTCTCTAGCAGGTCCTCTCCCCGCCTTTGACTTCAGTTAGTTATTGGTGCCTGGTCTCTCGCAGGTCCGTTGCGCTGCACTGCTTCTAGGTGTCCCGGCTACAGTGACGGCAGGTAAAACAGAGCCCGTGGCCAGAAACTATGTTTTAAAGCAGAGACGCTGTTTATAGCGGATTCCGCAGAAACATTGCAGCCACAATTTTTTATTGGCCCAGGCTATGATCTCCTGGTGATTGTGTGTAATATCAAGACAACACATGCTTGCTAAGACATTTGGTAATATTCCACCGCCGTTGTTGGATATTATTCAAACTCTTAGACAAACTCATTGTGCAACATAGAGCATGAGATGGTTACACGGCTGTACTGTATATCACTGCTGAATTCTCACTGTCAGGGTCATGGAATGGTTATTTCTTTGTCCACTTACCACAGTGATCTTTGATGTTCCCTAGTCCTCATGGTGGCGCTGTGAGACAATTGTAGAGAGACCTCTGTTGAAACCATTTCAAGCAGTAGGATACTGGAACACTGCAGAAATGTTATGGGAGAATTTACATCAGCAAAACCAGCATAAAGATCACAGGAGTCAAATTCAATTTAAAACTATATTCCGTCTTGCTTTCTCCACCCACTCCAAAAAAACATGCTTAGTAATCCCTTGAAACAATTGCAAATTCTAATAGCATTAAAAAGACATATATAAGAGAAAATAAACAATTGTGTTTTTTTATTTGATAAGTTTTCTCCTCTTTTTCCACTCTTCTGAAGTAACTCGTCCTGGTGTATGGTTCACAGGCACTCAAAGCCATCTGGTACCTTGCCCCAATGGCCTTTTTCATGTGCAAATCCAGTGAGTGAGTGTCAACAGGCTATTTGACCCTGGGGGGCATCACAGACAAACCTGATCCCTCTTCACTTGAAGTCCATCACAATGACTCCAGCAGTAATGATCCAGAGCTGGAAACCATTGCTGAAAATCCCCTCCTTAGCCTAGGAGCACTGAAGCCAATTGTAGAACCCACAATTCCAGCTGAATCGAACTAACTTAGCACAGACCAGGGATCAAATTACAGACTGGCCTGATCTGTATAACATTTATCTACTCACCTAACAGTAAGCCCCCTTATTTTTGTCATTATTGAAACAGTCAATTGATAACATAAGTAGGATCAGTGAATTTTAATGTCAAAATGGTACTTCTACCTTTTCAAAGGTTGTTGGCCTAAATGCTGTTATTTGCTCATTTGAATATTTTTTCCGCTCCATTAAAAATATCAACGTTCAGGTGCACTGGTGTAATGGGAAGTGTTACAATTAAACTACAGGATGGAAAATGAAAATGTACGTTCTTTATGTATGCACTTAGGCAGTGAATATTGGCAGGCTTATTCAACTGTGGTGCACATCATAGCCAAGCCTGACCATGTACTTGCACAAAGTGCACCCAAGAGCAAGTTCCAGCGGGAGTGATGCAGAGCGGGAGCCCTGCTGATTTTCCTTCCTTGATCATTCACTGAACGTCTCCAGTCAATGTGAAGTTTCTATCCTCAAAGCAAATCAAACACTAGGTTGCATCTTTAGGGAATTTAAACTATAAATTGAAAGAAGTCATTCTAATCTTGTATAGATTATCGCTGAGGCCACATTTGAATTATTTTGCATGGTTTGGCAACCTACCTTCAAAAAGAAACTGAATGGGATTCAGAGGAGGGCAACAACACAACTTACAGTTCTTAACGGTTTGAATAGTGGAGACTGTTTTGCAGTTTTTTCTTGATTACCTTTTGGGTTCAGGGACTATCTATGCTGAACCTTTCTCCCCAGAACACGTGGGACAGTGAGTCCATGAAAAGGAAGGTGCTGGGCAGATGGGAGATGTAGGTTTGAAGCAGAATAATTAGGGAGAGGTTAGAAGGAATTTCTTCATTCAGAGGAGTCTGTAGGGTTTGGAATTCGTTGCCGCAGGTGATGATTGAGGCCGGATCAATGTAATTATTCAAAAGGAATTGGATAAACATTTGGGCTTCAAAAAGCATTGAAAGTGGGATTATTGTTTTTTTTTAAAAAGTGGCAATTTAGTAGCAGTAGCACAGACACAATGGGCTCCTTCTGCGCTAAAATTCTATGATGGGTCAAATGGTCCTTACACACTCCTTTTTTTATGTGACCTTAAATGTCTTTCAGAAAGCTTCCCAGATCCCTCAAGCCTTCCCTCTCGTGATTCTACCCACAGTTGTAAATAAATGGCAGCAACGTTTTTATCAGGATGATGAGCAATCCAACATCTGCAGTCTTTACAGAAATTTACATTTTTACAATCTCACGCTGGAATTGTGCTTTTATGAATTCAGAAGGAATGGAATCCATGATTTTTTCCTGGTATAAAAAAGGCTTTTTTTTCCTGTACTGTTAATGGGGGTTATTCTACTCCATTCATTTAGTGTAACAAATCTTTCTTTCGATGTGCACATATAATGGGAAATTCCATTAATTTACATTAAGGAGTTGGTGTGACACTGAATCTACAGCTCCCATTCAACTGCAAAATCTATTAGTTCAAGTAATTTAAAGGTTTGAACTAAGACATTTCTTGAAGTACATTACACTGTTTATTATATTTGTGGGAAACCTTTTGCATTCTTTTAGTTTGTTGTAATGCGAAGATTGTATTTCTATCAGAAAATTTGTTTTATGAAAACAAGGGAACTCTCTAATAATGGCTCATTGTGAAAATGGAACATATTGGGAGGTACTGGGTCATACAGACTGGGAGAAATGTAGGTTCAATTTGTGATTGGTACTGAGTTAACTGACATCTGGTTGAGTTACAATGGGCATGATTCGATTGGCTTTGGTGTTCATCGTGGAAGTTGGGCCCGATTCCTACTCCTAATTGTTGTCAAATATCCCCTTATCGAAGGCTTGTAGGTTTACATATCAGATGTGTGAATCTGCAGTTGTCAATAAACTCATTTTAGTGGATAGGTGCAACTTATGTGTGGAACTTCTCAGTCTGGTTTGGATTCTCTTATACATGGTGATGGATTTCTGCATGTGTCAGCGAAGTCCCATGAACAGCCTGAATTCAATAACCAATTAGTGTGGAAGAGGTGGTAAACGCTCTGCTGGAGGCAGCAGTAAATGTAAGATAATTTGGATGCACGGGGTGAAAAGCTGTTTAACATGAAAAATGATGGGACAGTGGCACTTACATGCTGGAACAACAATGCACAGTGGAACTGAGCAGGGAGATACAGTCTACATTCTCCATCTCAGCTGTGCTGCGATGAGCAGAGGCCAATTGTCTGTCTGCAAAACAGAGTTTGTTTCACTTTCAGGCAGCTCATGGCTGGCTACTGCACACTGAATTGGAGCAAAATCTATTTGCAAGTGTATAGTTTAGTGGCAGATGGGGTTGGATTTTGTCTCAGTTTGAGGACTCTTAAATAAACATCCCCATCCCAACCAGATATCCTGAAGCTGAAATGAAAGGAGTGCTAACAGGCTTTGTTACATTTGTGTTTAACAATTTGGAAACATTTCCAGTTTCAACAATAACTAATCAGAAAAATCCTGGTGATTTAATCTCCAATTATGAATTTATTATGAATTTAATCATGCTTTTACTTGATTTAATCTGTGAAATGTATTATTTTGCTTGCATGAATGCAACGAGGAAATAAAAAGTTGATACCATTCTTTCTGGTTATTACAGAAAACCATGAAAAGGAAATATTTTGGAGGCGACTCTTAAGAAGAGGAAACTGACTTTACACCTTGTGTTAACAAGGAGTGAGCAATGAATAATTTCCAACACTAGTCTCAGTTAAGCAAAAATGAAAACCACAAACGAAGCTGTCAATTTTGTGATAATATTCATACCCGCTGTGCATCCACCCACTCATTTCAGATTGCAATGGCAATGGTGTTTTCTTCTTGCAGGGAAAAATAAGAAGCAGAAACCTTTTTCCTTTCTTCCACCTTTGTAAGGAAGAATGCACAATGAGGCCTAGTTGTACAGAGGTCATTATTGGGCAAAAGGTGCATACAGAACAACTGTATGTAATCATTGAAAAGAGATCTATGCAATAACACAGGTAAATTATACACCTATTTATGTACAAACTGGTGCTGTCCCTGAATGAAAGGACATTATCTTAAAAAGGACATTTGTAGAAACATAGAAATTGTCTCTGTTGGTTACCTCAAGAGTAATCATTTCTATCCACCTTACCTGCCCTTTCCTCAAATCCCTATAGCTAACTTTTTTAAAGTTATTTGTCTAATTCCCTCTTGAATGTCAATATGGATTCTGTCTCAACTACTGCTCCCAGGAGGGCATTCCATATTCTAACCACTCTATGTGTGAAAAAAATCTCCTAATACTGGGCACAATATTCTAACTTAGGTCTAACTACATAAGTTTAGCTTTATCACTTTGCTTTCATCTAGCTGAGTTGTACACATATCCCTTTTCCA